TCAGTTCTAGAAATGACTTGCCCAGACTGTTCCTTCAGGTCTGCAGACCACTTTGCTCTGTGGAACTGGCTTTGGAGCATAGTCTGACTTTGGTTCTGCCTTCCTTCGCGTTTTGACTGGTGAAGAATTATCTCCACTTTCCTTCAGATTTTCTGATATGGGTGTGTACCTGCGCTGATTTCTTCTCTGTGATTCTCTGAGATGACTGGGAATCTATGGTTGTTCCTTGTCTTTGGGTGTTTAAGCAGCACCAGTTATTCGGAGACCACCAATAGGAGGCCTGATCATTGCCTGCTTGGTTTACATACTCATCCGAACAGGCAATTCTAGAGTTATCGTTTTGCATTACAAACCAGTCTGGGACTCCAGGTACCTCAGTCATGAACTTGCTGATTACGCTGATCTGCGCATTTTATTCACCTTCGAAGAGCCATCTTCGAAATGGCCGTTGAAGGTAAGTGCTTGGTTTTATCCTCATGTTTTGAATCTGATTCAAACCTTCGATAAGGGTGACCATTTTCTGTCCTGCGTGAAACTGGTCTAAGGGGGCCAATCCTCTGGCTTTTGATTCCATGACTGAACCTCTCTCCAGTTTTCTTTCAGAATGGCTACTCTCCATTCTATAAATAGTTATGTGGCCTGGATTTATGCAAGAGCTTCTTGCCTTTGTCATGCATTCTGTTACCCACGCTCAACCACTGGTGGTCTCTGCCTATCACTAGCCGGATACGGCCTTTTGTTGTAAGCATTGGTTGACTAGGACGTCTTTTGAACATCCCTGTAGTATTGACCTTCCATCAGTTGGAAGACCTTTCAACCACTTGTAACTGAGTCTGCACCTGGGGCACATTCCTCTGCATCACCGCTGCTTCTAAGAATCAATCATCCAGTGATTCTTCATCAGAGTGTTCCCTCTGGGTGCGAGAAACCCTGTCAATAACTGGTGGGCTTCTAGTATTCTTCTTGATGTTGGTTTGATTAGAAAATGCATCTGCACATTGACTTCCTCCAATTCTGTCAAGGACAAGTTCTGGAAGTCTGATGTAATGACATTGGCTGCCTGCCTCTCAAACTTCGGAAAGGGATCACTGTCATTCCCCATGGTTTTTTTCTGTTTTAAGCTGGAGAACTTCAAACTTCATTTCGAATCTGTTCTTGGACCATGTCTCCGAAAAACAATGCAATTTTTAGTCGAGTGAGACCAAATTATGCCATTTACAGTATACTTTTTCCTTTCAGTTTCATCTGGGAATGGTAGTTTTATTCCTTTAGGTAACTTAAGGAATTAGCACGCGAGCAAATGATCAGATGTCTATCTGCTTTTGTTAAATCGAAAAGAGTATTTTCTGTGAAAGTCTTTCTTTTTAAACTGCTTGGTCTATAGTTGTATCCTTATGAATTAATGCTTCACAGATTAAAGGTTCTTTGCCTACAATCTCTGCTGCATCTATTTCATTAATTAGGATCTCTATAATATGTCTTATAATGATGCATTATTTCGATCTTGTTCCTCTTCTAATAATGATTCATATCGAGACACCTTATAGGTCAGTTCGACCAAATCTCTGAATTCAGTTGAATCAAACTTCTTTCTCGAAGCCTGAATTCTAAAACCATTTGAGCAAATCTGACGAATTCTGGCTCTGACAGGAAACTCTACATTTATTTCGAGCCCTTTTAAATCTGGCAAACAAACTGAGTAGCCTTTTCTTCAGGCTTTTGACTCAATCTAAGCCAAATCTGCCATAGATAACTTCTGGCTCTAATTGGAAGAATTGGGCATGAAAATGCCTCTTCCATTTGTTGCCAATTTTGAATGGAGCCAGGTGTAAGGTTGATTGTACCATACAAATGCCTCCCCCCGTTAGGGAATTTGGAAATAATCTCAGTTTCATATAGTCATGGTTAGTAAATTCACCGCATTGAGCAGCAAACCTAGCAATATGTTCTATCGTTGATTGATTTCCAGTCCCAATAAAAAAGGTAAAATCTGGTATCCTGAATCCCCTTGGGTATTCATGTACCCTATCTACCCATTCTGGGTATTGGTTTTCTGTATATAGGAGTCTGGACCCCCGAGCCATTGGTCCACATATCTCCCTAACAATATCAGCAATCTGGTCTCTAGGAACATATTTTGTGCCTGCTGGAACACTACTGGAGGGGCAAACACAGGATTTGGTAGACAAACTTGTGCTTGTGGTCCTCTTGGTCCATAAGTTGGTAATTTGGGGCTGGTTGTCCTTGCGTGCAGGTTGCTGTTGAGGGTATGGGTAACCCCTTTGAGCATGACCTGCGAAAGGACCTGCAAAGGTGCTGGAACAGGTGTTGTGTCTGCCATTTGTAGGAAAACCCTCCACCCCCCCGGGTGTAAATTCGAATAAGGGATTAGTGTACCCCTTGTGCCAGGTCTGCTTCGAACAAATAGGATTTGTAACCATTCTTATGCCAGTTTCTTGTATTTGGCCAGATTCACCAACTTGTTGGCTTCATTATTAAGTACTGAGGCATTTTGGCCTGCTATAGGCCTTGAAATGGGTTCATACCAAGACTGAGGTGATGGTCTTTCAAAGTTTTGGGTACTAGTTTGACCATTAGGATGTCCATTAACTTGCATAGGCTGTTTTTTCTCTAGCCAATCTTTGTTGGGGGACATTTACAACTTCCTCCGTGTGTCTTGTGTTTGTTGGTTGGTGGTTATTCATTCGATCAAAAAGGAATGTTGCCCACCTTTCCATTGTGTTCATTAATTATTGTCCCATGGCATCTACTAAACCACCCCATGGATTTGTTGGTTTGAGTAAATGGCACAGTGGATGGTCCAATTCCTTGGTTTCGTCAATAATATGAACTATGGTTCTTGTCCAGAAGTACTGGTCTGTTCGACAATAGGTTTTTGACAATATAGGGAGTTTCCACAGGATGTGTTACCACATTATCCTCTGGATTTGGTATTCTACTCTCCTTCACGCCTTCTTCCAAGCGTTCATTTTCTCCTTGTCGTCTTCTTCTAGCCATTTTTAATTAGGTCCCACTGGGCGTGTCAAAAATATATGTTGGCTTTTTGGCTTTTCGAAGGGTATTTTTGTAAATTGTGAGCGTGCTAGTAAGGATCAATCAGTCCTTACAGAAATTGTGATTGCCAACCAATTACCAGACGATTGTGTTTTAGTTCTTTCAGCCTCAATGAAGAGGACTTTTATTGGTGGCTTGACTTAGGAGAAATTAAAAGGAATAACAGTAATATGAAGAAACAATTGAAGTATTTCATAAAAATGAACACTTACAATGGTTCAAACTCAGCCTCGGAGAGGTTTACAACAGCAATCTACTTGAATTTACTTAGCTACTCCTATGAATCGAAGTGCAGTGTGGGTATTTAAAGTCAGGTATTAAGGAA